AAAAAAAAAAAAAAAAAAAAAAACTAGTAGCGAGAAATTCGCGCGGAAGTTTGAAATAAAAATATATATATTAAAAAAAAAAAAAGTACTTTCGATTTCACTCGTACTCGCGTTTTTCCTTGCAACGACAAATCTAAAGACTACGACTGGATACGAAGACTTCATAGAAACAGATGACCTCTCTGGTTTATCAAAATCGTATTGAAAATACATACGCGAGAACGTACGTAAATATAACGATGACTGACGACAAGAACGATACAAAGATCAGAAGTAGTCTAATGGGATAAACAAAGAATATCAGGATAGAAAAGAAACTAGAAAAGTCAAAGGAATATCCGTGCTTACCCCAGGGAGCTCATTCAAGGGTCGTTAGATAGATACCTACTTTATATCGACCCGGTACGTTTCTGGGTACTCAGCGCCCTGTCACGTTTTTACGTTGCTGATAAAGTCACGTCGGTATCTCGAAACTGCACTTCCCGGTGCGCATCCGCCATCGGGCCAGGTTGTAAATATTCAATCGAAATGGATCGTTCCGAAAAGGGTGGACTGACGAGATTCGAGATACAAAGAGAAAAGTCAACTACTCCCCTGGTCCGTATCCATTCGCTCCTAATCAGGAGTTAAAGGTGCTGGAATGGAAGCGTTGCCCTTCTTGAAAAACGGTGTCAAGGGAACCCCAGGGGATTATTAAAATGTCAAGGCGCATTTGGATCGTCCAACCGCATTTAACCTATCGAATTTATCGACTGTACTGCAGCTGCAACGTAAAATACAGTAATAAAAATCCCCGGAACAAAGAAGCAACCAAAGTTGGCCTACTGATGCCAAATCCTAAGTAACTGATTACAAGAGACACTGAAATTGACTATAGATATACGGGTGACCTTTTAAAATCGACTTTTCTATAGACACGAAAAACCAATACTCGTCCCCGAGTGTCAGGTTGGATAATAGACTTCTTCTATGTCAGGTATTACCTGCCGCTAATCGCACCAGTGAAATACGTAGTTTCAATTGATTTCGTAGTAATCGATGCCCGCGATCGTTAGGCTGGCCCGTCGCGCTTCGGGCGTTGCGCAAGGCACCGCGACGACGACGCCCGAGGGACGTCTCGATAAGGATATCGAATAACGTACCAGGCAGATATCGAAATCCGATCGATCCTCGATACTCCGATGTCGACCACGTACATTTTTACAAGCCTCTGCCTTCCGTTCCACTGATTCCAATTCCGACTCTTTTATTTTTCAGTAGACTCGTGGAAACAAAGCCAGGAGTATCAGACGCTTCGAAAGGTTCATCAAAATTACATGTACCCTAAATACGACTTTTGGCCCTATAAAAAGAACAAATCAAAGGTATCGATCGCGACGATGAACCGAACTCAGGCGAACAGAGTCCAAGTGAAAGAGCCTGTAGTAAGAGAGTGTAGCGCTAAATTCCAGTAGGTTTGCGATCGTTCGCAAAAAAAAAAAAATCTTTATCCAGGTCGAGAAACGAAATCTTGGAAAATTCAAAAGTGCATTGACCCCGCCGACCCGGCTCACTTGTCCCACGCTCATTGAATTGAACCTGCTGAAATGTTAAGCTCGTTCCAGTTTGACCATCGATCCAAGCTACCTTACATTCGCCATCCCCCTCCGTCCCCGTGCACCTGCCGCGAAACCATAAGACCCCCTCAGGGCGAACCGGGTACCCGCTGGGAAAAATTAAAAATCCCACAATGCACTTTCGGCCGTATTAAAACCTCTGCCGAGCCATGACCTGAACCTTCGCGTCCAGGACCCAAGGCACCTGGACAAGCGTTCCCATTGGGATTTACGATGGAATTACCTTGGAATTTTCCCTTTGCCCATCTCTGGCTCCCACCCAGCTCAGACTTTGCCAGAGACTCGGCGTAATGGCGCCACGTTCGGTTTACTTGGAAATGGGAACTGCAAATTATCTCCGGGTCCCAACTGATCCTCCGGTACCCATCGAGCCCTGCTCGGAACGAATCTTCAGCCCCGCAGTGCTCTTCGGCGTCCACGCAGTCGTCTCGGCGTACCTTTACTTTCTGGGCTGAACACTTTCCCGGTAGGTTAATGCCTCCTGGTTATTATATCCTGACGCAGGGTCAGCCCGGGCACGTCGAGTCGTCGACCTATCTCAACGCGGGACGATAAAGGGGAACAAGGGAAAGGATACGGAATCAAAGATGCGCAATCAAAGTGACTGACACGCCTAATTCTACTTGGCTAGCTGCGAAGCTTCCTTGCAAGTCACAAGAGAGTAATGAATCCACAGAGTGTGACTCACGTCCAACTACCTTGGAGATGTCGACGTAATCACCCGATGAAAAATAAAGGTGCGGAAGGCAGTGCTCTCGCTTCGGTAGGGAGGGACGTACGTGGGCGCAACGTGCCTCGCGACGCCTGGCGTCTTATTGTACGTTTCACTGCCACAAGACCACAAGACTTCACGGGACGCCGGAAGATTCGTAAGTGAGCTACGGGTTCCCACGGTAGGACTCTGGTCACTTCGATAACTCTTGGCCATACACCTTGAGCTGCTTGACCGACTATAAAAACATCAGAAACCGGAAATCGACCTGGAGCTGACTTGGAACGGCGCACCGATTGTCAGTCGGTTAATGCAGTTTCCTTTCTCTTTTACATCGCGAAATTATGAAACTCCGTTGACGTAGACTTATCGTGTATATATATATACACACACAGTCCGGATGTGTTTTCCCGGATATTGCTAATGCGAAAAAGTTTATGTATCACGAGTATGCACGTGGTTATTACGAAGCATTGCACAACGTGAAGGTGGGAATCTGTCATGGGAATCCAGCGAGTAGGTTAACTACAGTCGGTACGATATTTATGACAGGCTTATATGTACAATTGTACATGATACGACGAATTAATCTTCCACTTTACACGTGTCTAAGGGCAATTAGTCTGGCTGATAGAGGCAGCGATATCGCGGTCCTACGTCTCTACTATAAAGGTTCCTTCGTGTCCTGCACGTTTACTGCGGAGACCTCTGCAGCGAGTGGAATCGATCTTCTAAAATGCATCGTTTTGAACAACTGCCAGCGTGGCTGCTCCGAATGTTCTTGACGCACCGTCCGAAAAAAAGTCCACGGGAGCAAGCGGAATCGGGTCAGGCGATAAAATCGACTTGAAATCTCGAATACGTAACTCGCACTTCCTCGACGTTGATCTCGAGTCGAAAAAGTAATCCAGTATCCAGAATACGTACTTCCATAGACAACGAGGGGACGAAAGAATCTTTTCTACAGGTTAAAAGTAACTCGACACTGCCGCCACCTAGTGAGCCGTTGAAGTATCGCGTAGGAGTAGGAAGAATAAATAGTATTAATTACCGATCGCGAGTGGGTGAAGTAATGGAGGAAGAAATAAAAAGGCCAAGGCGACGAGTGCTCGTTACGGCATTAGACTATCCTCAATTGGGCTAGCGAATTTATCGTTTGATTGTCTCGAGTGGATGCACCGTAGTGAATCGGCCTTTTGTTCGCATCCAGCAGCCATTAGCTGGAAGGATTTGGAATGTTCTCTCGGGGAGGGGGCTCCCCCCCCCCCCCC